TTCCAAACATTAAATGATCTCCTCCTCGACGCTCTGAAGACACCCATAGGTCATGTGGTTGGCAAGTATGAAATGTTATGCATTGTCGGGCGAGTAAGTACTTGCATGGGAAAATCACCTAGCGGACAATTGTTTTATATTTGCCACACACATCGAAATCTTTGTGACTGTGATATAGAATAATTCTGTTGTAAGTCGTGAAAACTGCTTTAAACCTTGAAAGCAGTTTGAAAATTTGAACTTAATTTCAATAACTTATTGTTAAGGTAGCGAGAGGAGAAACACAAGTTATAGTTTAATTGAGATAAAATCAGGACTTTCCTCACCAGTTACTAAGCATGCAAGCAATGTATATGTTTCAGAAAGCTGAGATATAGCAGAATACGATCATATATGTTTCGTCTTAATATTTATTTATTATATATAGTCGGACATTATGGCTCTAATCTATTGAAAAGACCATACAAAGTTTTGAAAAGCGATTGGAAAGTTGATAAATATGTTCAAAAATTGACTTAAGTGATTGTCCTACCAACCCCGCACTTAATGTTAGCAAAATTAATGAAAAGTCGCGCGATTGCCCTATATGTATTACCAAATTATCATACGAGCTCAGCGTACATTCGTGTAAAATAGCGCACAAAATTGTGTAAAGCGATTGAAAATGTGCTAGATTTGTCTAGAAATTTGGTTTAAGTGGTTTAATTTTCGAAATCTGTAGCGGAAATTGCGAAAATGCGATGAAAAGCGTCGTAATACACCCACAAATAGTCGGACTATGTTCAAAGCATGTAGAGGTCAAATCCGGAACATACAAGTGCAATCAGTCTCTATTTTGAAACATTTCCAAAAGTTAAATGACCTCCAACAAGAAACAAGATCAAAATACATTTATAGCAAGCAAAGTGGTCATGATGTGATCTGACAATATGAACTTCATCGGGCGAGCAAGCACTTGCATTGGAGATCATCTGGGAAAATTACTTAGTGAAACAAAATTTGTTCATTTATCACACACATTGAAATTAAATATTTTAATTAAAAATATAAACTTTGTTACTGTGATGAGGAATATTTCTGTTGAAAATCGTAAAAACTGCTTTTAAATCTTGAAAGCAATTTGAAAATTTGCACTTTATTTGAATAACTTATTGTTAATTAGAGTCAGCAATTATAGCTGTAATCTGTTCAGAAAACTGTACAAAGTTGTGAAAAGTGATTGGAAAATTGATATATATATATGATAAATTTGATCAGAAACTTGGCTGTAGTGGCTGTAGTATCGAACCCTGCAATTAAAAGTTTGGAAACATTCTCAAAAGTGTATATTATTGGGTGCCCATGATATTTACAATGTCCTAACGTCATTTCCGAATATAATGTAGACAATTGTTTCCTGTAGCCGAAACACAGTATCAACACGAGGTCAATAAACTATTAGTATCATTTAGTGACGTAGTGTATTTACAATAGGAATCAAAGCACATCTAACGAGATGGATCAAAGTACGGTTATTGAGATAGTTCATGTGCTATGTAATGCACAAGCTGCGGCGACCCAATGATTGACACATCAAAAGACATTGCAATATACTAGTAGGTCACGGGGACTCAGTGATTGTCACTGTCAAAGACACACTGCAGTATATCCTACATAATATCCTGTATAATGAAATATCTATATAGGCGAATAATATACATATGAATATAATTAACCTTTGCACTGTGATAAAAGTACCCCCCCCGTAAAGACATATAGCATGCCCCTTATATAGTTATCAGTATTGTTAAGCTGCCATGCATTTCACTTTACTTCTTATTTTCTCCATCATCTCAAACACGTTATGTGTCCCCGGTCCCATTGTAAAAACATCAAATGGACCGGTAGAGGGCATTTACATGGATATGGTTAAGGTGTTCTTCGGGATACCATACGCCTCACCACCAATAGGTGATAACCGCTGGTGTCCACCGAAACCAGCTAAACCCTGGGCTCCGTCAGTATTACAGGCAACAAAACCACCACCTGGATGTTACCAGCATTGCGATTTACCGCCATATACATGTCCAGACTCGGTAAGTCTATGTATTGTTTTAATAATGTTACAATAATAAGGAATGAGTTTTTATGCGTCTGTATACTGAATGTTTCAGGAAAGACCGCATACATTGCCATTTTTTAAACGCACTTATTTGTAATATTGCGGACAGAATGTATATCAAAATTCATCCTGTAACTAGCGTTACTGTCAATATCCGATGTACTTATATGCTAGTTACTGTCATCATTGACGTTTTCTTCGTATTCCCAAGCTCCTGTATGTGAGTATTCTGTAAGAAATATTTATTTTTTGAAAATATGTCATTAGTATTTTTCCCAGCTTAATATCATAATCAAGATCTAGTTGTTGAATTCAAAGATAGTCACTGTCAACAGTACTGCTACTCGTGTGTGGTGTCATAACCAATCTCAAAACACTGCCCCATATCAAGTCACCAACACAATGCTTGTATTTTTTGTACTCCCTCTTTGTGTGATAATTCGAAAGGGCGGAAAGAAAAAGATGTCGTAACTATAAATCGTCTATTTTTCAGGTCAGTGAAGACTGTTTGTATTTGACAGTTTTTACTCCGCTGACCGCTGTCAATGGGTCAAAGTTCCCAGTGATGATGTTTATACACGGAGGAAACTTCATAACTGGAAGTGGATACACGGAGCTGACAGATGGGCGGTTCATGTCGAATTATACTAACACAGTTACTGTGTTTATCAACTACAGATTAGGTAGGTACTAAGATATGAGAATTAAAACACTGCACGTGATCCAATTCGTTGCGACATCTGTGTTGATAAACTTTGATTTTCCCACAATCATGTAATCGATCAAACGATCATTTAATAGAAATCACAAGTTTGAGATTTGACCTGAGCGCGACTAATTACCGCCGGTGACTCTTTCGATACATTCCAATCACCTACAAAATACCTAATTAAAACTTGGTAAAGTCTCAGTTTGTACTCGTTGATCTGCGCAAGTCAAAGTCGCTATCTTTGTTTATAAGAGACCCATCTGACTCACGCATGCGTGGTGCAACCACTACCGCCCTTTAAATTTGTTTACTGGTATGGTGAATGTATATGTTATAGAAAGGAAGTCGCATATTTAGCACATGTGGCAGCAATATTTAATTGAGATGCGATCTAAAACATAATGTCAGAAAACATTTACATTACAAGAGAAAAAGAAATACAATGTCTGATTATTTAATTGATATTCTAAGAGTATGATGCAACTTCTAAATGTACAATAAAATCAGTAAAACTGAATATTAAGTTTGATGATAGATTACAACAATCACGATGCAAACATTGACTTGAACAATGTGTCAATGTAAAGTAGTTTGTGGTTAAAGTGTCTGTAAACATTATGGTAAATATGCGCCCTCTATAAGCCATTGAACTCTTACCGAATATATGATATCCCGTAAACAGTTTGATGCTAACCTGTTTATTGCCTCAGTCAAGGAAGTTATGTTTTCAGTAAGTTTGGCCTGTTGTCTGTAAGGGGTTGCCCTTGATACAGGCACGGACTCATTAAATATGGATAAGTTAGCGATGTGAATTAAATACTGGCACTATTGTGTCTTAATTTACTACCATGGCGGCTGTTACTATGTGTCGATTTCTACATTTCATCGACAGGAGCGTTTGGATTTTTGGTTGCTGGTACCAAAAGTGACGCTGCTATTGGTAACTATGGCATCATGGATCAACGTGCGGCGATGGATTGGATCCAGTCTAACATCGAGGCATTTGGTGGAGACCCCGATAAGGTAAGTATTGAAAGAATATATCGTGATGTATTCCAATCTACGCGTATCTTTAGATAAATTCCGATCTCAATCACATTGTATGTCATGTCTGTATCAGATCACAGTACTGTTCACTTTGTTTGATACCCAGGTTACAATATTTGGTCAAAGTGCAGGATCTCAATCAGTCGCCATTCACTTAGCTACGGACAAGAGCAAACACCTTTTTCATCGCGCCATCATAGAGAGTTTCCCATATTCAGTGCCCTTCAAGACACCCTGGGAGGCAGTCATTCTTGGAAATGACCTCGCAGACGATCTTAACTGCACACATGGTGATATGAAGTGTCTTCGATCTGCGTCACCAGAAAGTGTCTACGCAGCACAGGGCCAAAGTGGAGGAGTGATCATAAATCCGTTACGTTTGCTAGAAGAATTCGAACCATGGGGCCCTGTCGTTGATGGTAAAGACATTACAAAACAATCAGTGGATTCGTTCATGAAAGGAGAATACCAAGATAAACCGATAATGATGGGAACCACATCTGACGAAGCCAGAATTTATATATTTGGGGCATTCCCTGATCCAGCAAATATTATACAGGTATATGAATTCGTACTGGCAGTATTTCCAACACACTTTTTTAAAGTGATAGAAGAGTATCCGCCGGGGCCTCCGGGCAGCGACCAAAGAGAGCCGCTCTCGACTGCTGCCCACCATTTCGTATTTGCCTGTCCTACACGCGCTGCTTTACGCGGAGTCGCCAGGCACGGTAACAACAAAGTGTGGATGTATCTGTATGACCACGTGATGTCATTCCACAAAGCTTGGGGACCATCCTGGGAGAGCATGTGTACCACTCATGTATGTCATGGTGCCGAACTACCGTTTGTTTTCCATACAGCTACTAACGGCGGTTATAATTATACACCAGATGAACTCGTTTTAACCGATACCATGCTATACTACTGGACCAACTTTGCGCATACCGGTAATCCAAACAACGGACAAACTAAAAAGAGCGCCACCAGCTATGTTCACAATAGATTACAAAACTGGCCAGAATACTCAAATTCAAGTAATTGGAGTTACATGCATTTTACGACACCGAGTCGTGTTGATAAAGATTACCTGAGCAAAAAGTGTGATTTCTGGGATACACTGGATGTATATTCCCGAAAATATCGCATTCTTCATAAGTCTTGTCAGTGACTGGAATTGTAATTCATTACATTTGGTTCATTTACGAAAATAAATACTAATTGAAACGAAATGGATGTATTTATGACATCTGTAATTTGTAACACATGTATAAGTAACATCCGGGTTCAGAAACATTGTTGACAATTTCCTAACCGGGTAAATAAACAATAAATTCTGACATTGTAAGCTATAGACAGGAATCATGCCAGTGGCATTGTGGTTGACACAACGAAAACACATAATAAAATAGCAATGAAACCAAATTAAAGATCAAACCACGATTAAGACGTCACGTCACTGTGATAACTACTACCACCAGAACACCAGAATGGGGTGATATATGTGGAAATCCACCTAGAAAGGCTGGGCTTTATCTATATAATGCATCGTGAAACCAAAGAGTGTTGATTAGTCGTCGTTGACTCGTGTAACAAGGTCTTAACAGTGGTTGTTCTTATTTATGTGATTTCTTACAGGATCACGTATGAAACTTTTATAGCAACGATCACGCCAGATAATTATTAAACAGCCGATATTGAATATATTTCATTATATACGGTAAGATTTTTAAAATAAACAACAACAATAAGCAGAATTGAATCTTAAAAAAATATAATACTTGTAGCCTAGAATAGATCAAAACGTTAGTTTAGCTATTGGTTTAAGATAAAACACACACACACACACACACACACACCCCGAGGTTTCTAGCTTTTGATATCGGTGATCTGTTATTACATAACAATAACATTGTTTTAGGGGTAATGAAGATGTTCTTTTTTGCTGCGCGTTTGTAGCAAGCCCATTAAGTTAGATTGCTAAACATTCTAAAAAATGGAAAGACTAAAATAAACCTGAATAGTGTAAAGGATGTAGACTAAAATTCTCTACATTGGTTAGTGAGTGGTCAATGTCCAGAAAAGGCAATCGGGGGGGGGGGGGCAGTTTCAAAAATCAAAAAACGGGGGCAATGTTTTTCGGATACCCTGAAAAAAATGCATTGGTTATGATGATGATTACAGTGAACTAAAAATGTAAAACACAACATAAATCAAGTAAAAACAAATCATGGTATTGTGAAATTATAAAGTACCCGATTACTAGTTTTTTTGTTCTAACTATACTAGGAAAGAACTGATTTCCAGAACTGGATTGTCACGTGCCTCAAGTGAAGAGCACAACTATTTAAAAATGGTTCATTTTTAAACAACAACTTCCCGGATTCGATTGTTAAAAAACTCGCCAAATTCGCAGTCATCCATCCAAGTTCCGTGATCCACTATGAAAGTGGGCGTTTAACCCCATATAATACATGCCGGTCCCGTCACAGTGAAACTGACCGATCGCGCTCCACAAGACTTGTTGAAAATGCTGGATAATTCGCAGGCAAAATTATAAAGATATGTGTTTTTTATTATTTTGGTGTTCTGTAGGTAATAGCGACTTACTCGGCGATGACTGCAAAGCGGTGAAACATTGAGAAATTAAAATATAAATGATAATATTGATCTATTTATATAGTTGTTCAAGTGTGTTCTTTCTGTGTTCAAAATTTGTAGGATGATCATCGTACACACCATGAATAATTATGGAAATGTTTGATATGATGTATTCTTTGTTTGAACCAAGGTTTCTCGTGTATGTATTATTAACGCTATACTGATAGCAGACGTACCCATGGGGTATTCTTGTTACCATAGAAACCGTCTATGATGTCATACACTGACAGTGTGCAAGATAAATAATTATTTAGATACTAAAGTCCCATGGTGCACCAGGAGAAGGATCTCGGGAAAAGATCATATCCACAATCATAGCTTAGAAGATTACGTATTGTACGAGTTTCAGCAAAAAAATAAAATCGTTTTCATGGATGTCTATCGCTCATATATGACACAACACGGTTGAAAAAAGGTGGATGTTATTTGTACGCTATGGCCATTACTCAGTCACATTGTTGTCAGTGACAGTCGCCCAAATTAATTATTTTTTAATGTCACATGCTTCGGTAAACACATTCCTCTGAAATTTATTGTTTGTATTCCATTAGCCTAATGAAATTTCAAAATAACACTCATGTTTTATTTAGAGCATTTTTGTTTGTTATCTGGACAACAATGCACAATATGTATGTACGTACGTATAGGCAGTTTTCGACATTGCGTTCCGTAGAATTGACACCTTACTACAATTAAGTCCGTTCTTACCTTTAACAAATTCTAGCTAGATATAGTCACGGTGAATGCACGAATTGGTCATCCAAGTTATGACCAATAAAGTAACTTAATTGAGATACTAAAACAGAAACATAAAAGATTGCCGATTGACTCGCTTCGTCGTGAAAATTAATACATTTATGGTACAGTTTTATTATCTACGTAATATTAAATTTGCAAATTTTAACAAAATAATATTAATGAAGTTATTCTCATGGGTTTACTTGTAAGCTAATCATCGGTCGCTATATTGATCGCCATAGCAACGCAAACCGTGCATAACTTTACCACTCCACGCAAAAAGTAATTCAACCTGCGCAACAGATCCGAGGATATCCTAACCGAGTGCTAAACGACAAGTAGACGAAATATTTTGTGAAAACGTGTAGACAAACGGCCTAAACATGGTGACGGTACTTCGTATTATGTGGAAAGGTCTGAACCAGATACTTCTCAATTATGGCTTCATCATATTAGTCTACGCTTTGTTCTGGGGTGTGGTGGCTTTCACCACGGATATGTTAAATGTGTTTCTAACCGCGCTCGAGACCAATTCACTATGCGAGGGATCGCTATCAGATCTACTAGCAGAAAATATCGCGAAGTGGCGGGAAACAGACACTGAAACGACCGAGGAGTGAGTATTCATTGTGTCTTCATTGTTTGAATGATCGTTTCTCAGTGCCATCACATATATATGCTTTACCTCTATTTGATATTTCAGGCTTGGTACCGACTTCTGCAGTCTTACATTTGCAAGTATGATCAAATATCTGCTAGGACCATCCGTAAGTACTGTTTTTCTCATATACAGATATAATTTGTATCAGATGAAACAGTTGTTTATAACCCGGAATGTACAATTTTTACAGTGTATTTTTATTATATACTTTTATATATTTTAATGTAGCATTAGTTTTTTACAATTATTTTCATCGTATTTTTCATCCATGTTATTACTTTTGTGTTTCCAAATAACACGTACATGTCATTTAACATGAAAATTACTTGTGCTTGATAAGTACCAGATCACGATATGGTTGTTTTGTTCATGTACACGTATTTAATTACGAGTACGTAGTTTTAATTAAAAGTATATTAATTAGAAGCGCATGCGCTATTACATAAGGGTACATACTAATAATTCATAGTGTGTATACGCTATGAAATACGTATACGTATTATTTTTTGCATTGGCGTTTTTTTCATTTTATGCAGATAAACTAAACTCAACTATTAAAAATATCCACACTATTTTTAAAACTTAATTCCAATAGTACTTGTTCCGTGCATTTGAAACCCAGTTGAATTATGTGGGTGTTGTTTCCACCCTTGACAGGTGAACACGTCACTATTCCATGGTTGATTAATTTATTTTTATAAGCAAGTGGTTGATGTGGCATAGTTCGACGACCGCAGACATCTTTTTTCCAGCATGTGAATATGGTTTATCTATATTGTTGATTGCAGCAGTTGTTTTCAACAAAATTGCAAAAATAATGAAAGGTTGTAAAGGTGTTTGTCATTCAATAGAGCCTCTTCTCGAATGGTCGGTGAGAGTGAGAGAGTCACGTAACTTGTTTTCGTCCCCAAATAACGTTCTCTGTCGCCATCGCATCAACTGCAAGGACAAATCTCTTTTCAGTCTAGAAAAAAAAAACTCTTTTATTTGAATATGTTTATTATCGTGAGCGAGATATATACCCGGGAAAGATAATGCTTGATTAGCTGAATTTCTGTCACTTCGGACATTTTCTTTCAAAAAAAAAAAAAAAAAAAAGCTGATCTAACATTTATTTTTAGCGAAGCTTTCATCAAAAGTGTCATCATAAATGCGTGAAGGTCGTAAGTTTGATTTAATAAGTGAAAATATCGTTCTGTTATTAAAACAGCAATTACTAAATAAAACCTTGATTCACGAAACCATTGTAGTTATGATTGAATAGTTTCAATAACTATACACATTTGTATAAACAATCTTGAATAGTATTTGTGTTCGTGAATATGCCGTTAAGTATGTGCCTTCAAAAAATCAGCATATTTAAGTCGGCATAGACACGTCACCTGATTAATGTTACGTGATCTTCTACACTGAGTCGTTTCTGTTGGCAAAATGTTACGGAGATGGGAGGGGGTCAAACACTCGCTAAACCGTGTCAAGATCAATGCAGAGAGTATATATCTTATGAAAATATCTCATAACTATTTACTTCCCTGGTTATATATGGTTGGAAAACTGCAGTGAGTCTAGGAAAAGTCGAGGGGAAAGCGTAGCCTATCCTTTAAGCATTCATTAACATTGTCCAAGGTGGATCAAAACGATCATTTTTAAGTGTTCCTTCTGAGGACAACACTCTCGCGTTTTGCAAACACAAACTTTTATTTACTTTTGATGATATGGGCGCGTCTCCGATATAAGTGTTTGATTGTGTTTCAAAAAAGACATGTGATAAAAACGTCCATAATGTATCATAATGTGTCACTTGCATTGAATTTACAGAATTTGTACAAGATGTGATAAATACTCAGTTGAGGATGACTATTATTACATTATGGACTGCCCATAGCACAATGAAATGAGACAGACACTTTTCACAGAATTACGAAAGGAAAATTCTAATTTTACTTCATTGAATAATTCTGATAAATTTATTTACATTATGACAAACTGACACATTAATCTTGGTGTGTTTATAATGCAAACAGATAATAGTAAACCACCTGATTCCGTACTATTGAGTAATTTAAAACTAGTTTGTTATTTTTGTTTTTACTTACTTTCATGTTATTTTAAATTTTATTATCCTTTCCTTTTCTATTTTTGTTGAAGTTCATCTTCTATAGAAATAATTATGACAATAAAGTTATCTACTTCCGTTGTAATGACAGTGTTGCAGTGTTGAGACTCATCAAAACATCACTTTGTAAATTAATAGGAAACGTATCTCCTAACGTTGTTTTCACGCGCTGGCACAATATACTGTGTAGAATAGTACTGTAAGCCCATCAGATAAGCAGCGTCAACTGAATCACGGTTGCTATCACGTGACCGATACTCTGTATTTCCATGAGAATAATGAAGTTAATCACTGGAATATACACGTTTTATCAGCATTGTGCATTTTATCATTTATTGTATATACATGTGTATTTATGACTCCCGCCAATTGTATATTTTGTGTGATCTGTCTGCTCCACTGTTCCCAAGAACACCTTTTTATACTCTCTGAATGACAGAGTATATTATTTCTGTTGGGTTGCCGGGTTTCTGTATAAATTTATAGCAGATTTGTGGGTAATTTGTCGTATGTTTAGAATTGTCTGTACTTTCATCTACCATGCCATAACCAGGTTACGGCATGTAATTACGGCATGTAATTACGGCATGTAATTACTGAAATTCTAAAACGTCTAATGGCCCATCAAAACAACTATAGTACAAATTATATTACGTTATCGCATATTTGGTTACATCATTGTAGGTTACATTCTCACACGCGAGGTTACATTCTCCCATATTGAGTTACACCATTCTGGGTTATCATTCTATATCATTATAGAATGTTGGATTAGATTATCTCATACTGGGTTAGATTATCTCATACCGGGTTAGATTATCTCATACCGGGTTAGATTATCTCATACCGGGTTAGATTATCTCATACCGGGTTAGATTATCTCATACCGGGTTAGATTATCTCATACCGAGTTAGATTATCTCATACCGGGTTAGATTATCTCATACCGGGTTAGATTATCTCATACCAGGTTACATTATCTCATACCGGGTTAGATTATCTCATACCAGGTTACATTATCTCATACCGGGTTAGATTATCTCATACCGGGTTAGATTATCTCATACCAGGTTACATTATCTCATACCGGGTTAGATTATCTCATACCACGTTAGATTATCTCATACCGGGTTAGATTATCTCATACCGGGTTACATTATCTCATACTGGGTTAGATTATCTCATACCGGGTTACATTATCGCATGTTAGGTTACATTATCTCAAACTGCGTTACATCATTCTTGGTTACAATATCGTATGTTGGGTTACATTATCTCATACTGCGTTACGTCATTTTGGGTTACATTATCGCACATTGGTTTATAGTATAGCCTTGTGGGTTATAGTTGAACAATATTGAAAGACATGTCAACCAATAATGGAGGGCAGCATATTTTATGCGACATAAATGGAACATGCAATGTACTTGAGCGTGAAGTGAGTTTTGTCCGCACAAGTCATTAATAAACTGAAACTGAGCCCGTTTCACATCAACACGTCAGAAGAGCGTGCGTACTTGATCAGCCGAAAAAACGTATGCCTGAGCAGACGATGACGTCACAAATTGTCTTAACTTTAACATATTTATTTGACCCTGACTTTACACCCATTAAATTAAATAACATTGTTTCAAGTGTCCTGCCATCAATTTGTCGACACTTATCGCTATGTTCGTTCTGAACATAACTGCAGGTTATTAAATTATTATTATCATGGCAAATAATCTGCAATGATGACGTCATAAAATTAAAGGGTGACAATATCGTTCACACTATTACACTACCACGTGTTATTATTTCAGATAATGATTGTGATTCTGTTGGGATTTCTCACCAAACGTAAATCTATGTATACTAATATCTTCGGTGGCAGACCAGGATTACCAATGTAAGTACAATTATTAGGATTTCAACATAAATACACTTTAACTATTATTGGGTTGGTAGGGTGGTGTGTGCTTGGGTGATGGTATGTGGTTGGATGATAGGATAGGTGGTGTGTAGCTGGAGCGGTGTGTGGTTGATGGTTAGTGTGTGGTTAGGTGGGTGGCGTGTAGTAGAATGGGTGATATGTGGTATGTGGTTGCATAAGCCCGGGGGCAGTTGACACATAGCTGGGTAGGAAGGTGCCCCTGAGTGCTCAAAAGTGTGACCATTTTTATACCTGGATAGTGGCAAAATCTATACCCATATTTATACCAAAGTACCATTTTTGTCATCACTGTTTATTCTAAATAAAACAGTTACCGTATTTGCTCTATTAGAAGAGTATCTCCAATTGAAGCACATGTATGCCAACAGTTGCATTGTACATCGATTTCTTGAAATATGTATTTTGACCATAGAAACACCTCTTGTCACTTACATAAGAGCATATTATTAACACAATGTTCAGGTTATTTATACCAAATCGGAAAAATATTACCGTATTTATACCAATCTTTGACCAGAAATAAGACTGATACTTTTACCTAAAATCCAAAAAACCAGACCCATTTCAGGAGCACGTCCCCATTAGACAAGTTCTATGTATAGCCCCCCCCCCCCCGGGGGGTGCATAAGTGGTATGTGGTTGGTTGGTTGGTTGGTTAGGTGGGTGGGTTTTACGTGGTTGGTTAGGTGGGTGGGTGTGTGGGTGATATGTGGTTGGTTGGTTGGTTGGTTGGATAGGTTGTGTGTGGTTAGGTCGACGATGTGTGGTGTTGGATGACTGTTGTGTATTTGGGTGGGTAGTGTGTGGTTGAATAGTTGATGTGTGCGGTATGTGATGTGATGGAATGAATGGTTGTATATGTATGTAGTTGATTGGATCCAGATTTTGAGAGTCGTCATGAAATACACCTTTAGTTGTACTCACTACTCAACTATTTATATTCTACCTATATCTTCTTGCGATATACACACCACTATCACCCGTAAAACAATGGTTTTAACAACAAAATAAAACAAACAAACACATTCTGTTATTGCTTCTCATTATTACAACATCATGATACTTACCAGGGCCTGCTGATGATACTTACCAGGGCCTGCTGATGATGCGTTATGTCTATTTCCTTTAGCACGGTCAACTTACTGGATGAATGCAAAAATCGCATGGCGTATGTTGCAGCTTTCGGTGCCACCACTAACAGTGTCATCGATTTATTCAAAGGAGAATACTATTTCAAAATAGATAGCACCGAAACATGGATCAATGGTCGGTATATTGTTTTTATTTCATTCACATATCGACGGGCAAACTCATTTTAAGATCTGGAAAATTTACTATCTGTGTGTGGAAAGCAATGTTCATTCTGTAATTGTTCATTCAATGTTCAGTCCCCCATTTTAACGGTCGAGCCGATCTTTTTTACCCCAATTTAATATTTTAAACCATTTTACACCAATCTAAGTAATATTTTGGCGTAATTTGGAACAATTTTTAAATGGTTGTGGTGCACTCCTACCTAAAATCAAAGTGAATACCCCCGGGCTCTGAGCTACTATGTATGCAGTATCACGTCCAACCCATTCGTTCACAGTCATGTGTAGACCATGTACTCCAATCCATGGGACATTGCGTTCAGACCATGTGCGCCCATTTATATGATATTAGTGCAAACTATGTATGAACAGAAAATGGCAGTTTCCTTTGCTCCATATAATCACAAACTCTGACCTATTTTTATAGTTTTATTTACCCTTTATGCCTAACACCATGGTGGCAGTAATATTATGTATTAGATAGCGAATATTAAAATCTGAGAGCGTGTGTTGCTTCTCGATATCAAGACAAATTAAGCGGACGCGATATGTTGTGTTGGTCTAATTCAATGATTACATACCGCGTACTCACGTCCATATGGTATCTACGTGCAGATCATTTACTCTCATGTGATATTACGTACATCATTTATTTTCCCAACTATATGATATTATATGTAGACCATGTGATCCAATCAATGCGCAACATATATGTGGGCTATCTCCTCGTATCTATGTGATATCATGTACAGACCATACACTCATATTCACGTGATGTATGTGCAGACCATGTACACCCAGATACGTAAATATTGCTGTCTTTATTTGTCATCATTCATTTAATATCAGTTCTCATCTGTCACAATTGCAGTATTTGTTGGTATGATAAATGTAGCTGGGGTTGGTGTGGTATTCTATCCAATATTTGCATGCATTGCTACCAAGGCCCGTGTGGTTGGTTCATTTATTGGATTTTTCTACACCACAACGTGGGTTGTTTTCTGGGTCGCACAGCAGACATGCACAAAGACATACACACATCCGGTAAGAAGACATTTGTTTTGTTTTCCCTTCCACCTAACCCAATTTACAGAGGATGTTCTAAAATTGTTTGGCTTCAAAAATTTGAACTGAGACAATCTCGTTGTCATATCATCGTCACATACATTTGTATGGGCAAACTAAAAAATAGACAGGACGACTTTGAGAAACTAATTGTTTGTTTGTGTTTGTGTTTGTGTTTGTGTTTGTGTTTGTGTTTGTGTTTGTGTTTGTTATTGTGTCTTTGAAAGCCAAAGTCAAATTTTCATATTTTGTTGGCCAATGACAAAATCGGTTGTCCAGCCACAGCTTCAATTTTAACCTCGAATACTGACCAATATCATCACACTATACAACAATATATTTATAACAGTATTTTTTTTCTCTTTCAGAGTCAAGGTGTGGTATACTATATGACTTTTACGCCTATTTTCATCTTCCTATTCATTTTGTTGGTTCGTTTCTTTCTAATGATGATTAAGAGCATAAGGTTATCAGCATCACCAACACAGTTAATGGTAAGTTAGAGAATTGCTGAGTCACGGTCAACCTTATACACCGAATGTGTATATACTAGTTACATATTTGATAACGCCCTCCGGTACGGCTTTGAAAGTCTAGTCATGCTTTACAGAAATTACAACATACAGAGTTTTCTTTCAGGATCGACATAAACAGATGGAGATGAACTTCTATCAAGCAAAATACGTGATGCAATTATTGAAACCAGGAGAGCAAATAACGTAAGAAATCTTAATGTGTCACAAAAAATATATTAAAAGGTGATGGTCGTCGCGCCGCGCATGTGAGGCATTTATGTTGATAAACAGTGATTTCCCCACAGCCAAGTGCGCTTTTTAAAGGAAATCACAAGTACTAGTTTTGACCCGGGTGCCACTTGCACTAATTACCTCCGATGACTCCTTCGATACCTTCAAAACACACAAAAATGCCTAGGTAAAGCTTGGTAACCTCTAAGTTTGTACCCGTTGGTCTGCGCAACAGTCAAAGTCATCATCTTTGTTTATATGAGACCACCACCCTTTAACTTATTTTGCCATTAAACAGCGCCCTCTGTAATAGGATTTCACTACACCTGCAACTTTTTGCGCGGTTAATTTTTTTGTTAAATGTTCTATATTTCAGTGAAGATCTTGTGGCAGATAAGAGTTTGGAACTGAAAAGAGGCGGTGTCTTTGCCCGGATATGGAACTGGGCTTATCATAAATTCACAAAATATGTCTACAAACCTATTCCTGGTTTTCAGTATTCCTTGAGGGCGCTTTGCACATTTTCTGTTGCATGGCAAGCTGTGTATGTAGTAAGTATGCAAAGCTTGCAATAGAAATTAACTTTTTTTATCTCAAAAGCCACAACACAGTTGAATTAATACATTTAACATATTTAATAAAATGTTTGCATTCATTGCAGTTCGCGTGCCAGTATTTCTACATTGGTCAAAACGCACTCGTCCAGTACAATGAGTTTGTCGACGCCATAGACCCGTTATTAAATGTTACAAACCAAACTGGAATCGATTTCAAGAGAACCCTCAATAGTTTGGCAAGCTGCATCAACGGTAAACTTGCTGTCATTTGGAGTAAACGTTACCCTTATATGGCTGTCACGGTAAACTTGCTGTCATTTGGAGTAAACGGTAGAAATTGACGTTACCCTTATATGGCTGTCACTTATTATTGATATTCTGGATTGAGAAATGGGATTATTAGTTACACTAATTTCCGTGGCACTAGGATTCAGGAAGCACGGTTGCCGATACGAGTATAATATTTGCACGTCCTGTTTTCACTGCTTTAGCTGGGGTGACTTTGTATCAACATATCAGAAATATGTAGTAGCATTACTTTAGAAAATTTATGGACGTTTTTCTTCACCAACAGACCCATTTTTCAACAACTCATCAGGTTTAGCATGAACCATTTTAAAGCGATTTGTTTTATCATTACATGTATTAATTGACCGGAAAATCGTGCTTTACTGATATCGCTCCCTATATGTAGAATTAAAGCCTACATCTTTGCTTATGTAATCCTTGCCTAATTGTTAGCTGCATACTAGATACACTCATATAATAACCTCGTTTTTGACCAAATTCAGAAAATCGGGAATTTTTTTTTACTTTTTACAGTGAGTTTCTACATCTCCGCAATTGTGGCATTTCTCATGATGACAATGTTTATTCTTCGTATGATGGCGTCCTACAGGTAATAATTCACATCTCACTAGCTCAAATAGCTTATAAGTTATCGTTATTTTACTCGTGTTTTTATGTCAAGTCATTCTTGGTTTATTCTTTATTTAGAGCCCATTTCATGCGATTGTGTCGCGGAGACACTTCGTTTTTGCCAGCAAGACGATCGGCTCCTACTTCTCTCATGGTAAGTTTTCAAATAATTTCGGATTTAGTCTTTTTTGGTTGAAGACGTACAATTTGTAGAATAAAATAGAAGAGAAATCAGTTTGTCATGATTAGCTTTTGTGATCACTCGGCATGTGAAGCGTATTCACAAAAACTACTGAACCGCTTGGCTTTGGAATGTTGCCGCCTTGTTTATGGGAATTTACTCACGATAGGTTGGTCCGCCAATTTGATATCCAAGATGACAGAGTTGTTCAAAGCGGTAATTATCCATCGTCGACAGTCTGCTAATAGACGTGTAGATAACTTTCGTTGATTCTATTCACTGTCATTTAGCGAATATTTTTGGAGGTTTTCCACTTTCTTTGGAAACCAACAACCACAATTGTCTTGATACTTGAAATATAGACCTCTATTAGATTTATTATTCGTGTCAGCAATTTTATTTTTAGCGTAATAATTGGTCATTTTTGATAAAGCAAATTCAATTTTTGACTTTTTCTTGAAAACCACAAGTCTGATTGCTTTGATATTTAAGTTCCTTGGTTGAACCGCAATCAAAGTTGTTTATTCGTAACGATAACAGCAATTGTCTATTTTTAGCAATTTTGTTTGTCATTTTTGGTAAAAGCAATTATACTTGACCCCAGTCTTATTGGGATGATATCTTGATTTTGTGCACTGCAATTTTGTTAGTAATAGTTTTATTAATCATAAATTTTTGTAAATTCTGTAAATTATGATAGAGTGGTATTATGCACATATATTCGATGCCCAGGCCCTAAAAACTGTGAAGTGTCAATACTCGATAGACAACTACTGCTATAGACTGAAACATGATGTCTGCTAATCGTCGTTCTAAACACTGTTTTGCAGGTTTCGTGTCTGCGTTATTCTGGATACCAGATTGGATACATCCTATGGGGTAAGTTCGCTATACATTTCAGTAACGTACATTTTGTTCATTCACATATATTATGCCCAGTTGTCAACAAGTTGTTTACTCCAATATTTAAATGCTGATCATCCTGCTTAACAATGCGCGTAAAATACATTGTTAACTGAGTACATGGAATTTGAAGACGCGCTACGCGAAGAACACCGCGCTTTAAACACCTTCCTGTAGTATTGAACAAATCGGAACACTCTCGCGCTCACCAAGAACATAAGCATTTGGAAAATCACAAGAGACATCCAACAAGCTGCGGGTAGGCTAGAAACTGACTTCGTGCCAAACATTAATATTTGTCAAATCTAAATATTTCCGCACCATGATTTTAAGACTGGAATATTAGTGTAACGACAAATTTGAAAAAAAACAAACGAAAACGTTCGTGTAATATTTGTCACCTTAAACGCATTTAAAAAAATGTATCCTTCTTAGCCAATATTTTGACTGCTCACTTTCCACTAGAAAACATACACTATTTTTAGCGTTGCCACTGGTACCCGTTTACCGGCGTTGTTTATATATTTCTCTGTTTTGAGTACAATCACTTAAATATTTTGGTTGTTTAATAGATTTCAATTTTTGCAATATGAATTCATACCTGTATCGCAAATAAGCACGCAATCTAAACCATATCTTGTGATAATTGACAAATAATTAATAAAAATGAAGATAACACATCATGTACTCTTGACGACCATCACTTTTAAAAATAAAATAATCAGTATATTTATTATTTGTAAGACAACTTACTTTACAACTTTGTGCATAGCATGTCGTAACATTTTTCCTCCAAAAAATCAATGAACATACAATAAAGTTTCCCTCATTAGATAAAACATTTGTGTATAATCGATTGCAGAACACAAGTATTGTCAACAGTTGAATATTCATGACGGAAACCTAATTGTGCCTCATCGATTTACCCAACACATTCTGCTCCAAAAAATAAGATGCTTATTTAAGATCGCAGTGAAACGTTTGTTAAATAAATTCCATAATGAAGTACCTTTCTGCCTGAATCAAAAAGTATAATGTATGAGAAATATATATATTTAGTATTATCGTCAACATATTACTTGTACTTTTTAATAATTTCACATCTTTTGTTTGCACATTTTACTAGGTTTTGTTATCTTGTTGATAATGACATTCATGACGTCAGTAATCGCTGCATACCAGGTTATCATACCCATTGCTAGTGGCACCAAATCTAAGTTTGGTGAAGAGTTAGGACTGCTTTGGTAAGAAGTAGAAATGTATAGTTTTTAAAGGAGGGTACAGAAGAATAAATGTGAGGGTAATTGTTTTGAGATATATGTAACTGCAAACATGTTCTATATCATCCTATATCCTTAGTAACAAATAATGTACATTTACACATACTGTGTTTATTATAGTGGGATTCAAATGTCTTGGTTCTAATTATTTGGTCATATATGTTTGTTTGAAGAGATCTAAGTGGTGTCATTTCTAGTTGGGTAGTGCATTCTGCAACCTATTCCCTACATTACTATAGCAAGTAGTTGCATACAGATCAAAGAAAACAATGTTGAGGAAATGTGATTTGTTGAAATTGCAATTTGATGAAACTTTCAAATAAAATACAATATCGTTCCAGTAATCGATGTGTTTCTTTCTCCACAGGCCCAGCATTGTTTTTGCTCTTTTTTTGTACATGGTACAGTTCGTTCTCTCCAAGTACTTATTTTTGCAAAACAATGGACAGTCTTTGGCACTCACCAACAGGTAAATGTGAACTGTAAGAATATTACATAACATGTGATAGAGCATGACATAACATGTGATAGAGCATGACATAACATGTGATAGAGCATGACATAACATGTGATAGAGCATTACATAACATGTGTTGATTTCAAATGCATTGTATTTTGATATACCTGCCGTAGACTACACAAAGTGCAGTTTCGGGTGTTATATTCTGGAATGGCGAGTTATTGCACTAATCAAAATCGTACCTTGAAGCTGAGAATACCTAGGTGGTCAGACATACAAAACATACATCACAGTCATTATCAATCTATTATACCTAGTCGACCCAATGTAATAATCCGGAAAAATATATGTACTGTGTAGTGAACACACACCTGGGTATTTTCACTAAACCATGGAACCGTGCCTGTCACGCGACCTGATTAAATGGACGTACAAACTTTGGTGAATACACTGTTTAGATGGTAACTATGAGCGGATGCCCATTTCTGGAGGGGATTATTGTGTAGTGTAACGTCTGGTATCACTCATTTGTACATTGTGATTCAACCCTGTATATATATATATGAAGTTCTGTTATGTGCTGTGTGTGGATTTTATGTTTTGGAACCTCTCGCCATACATGAATAATTTCAATACAAATATGGCTATTACCATGCTTATACTAGTAATTGAATATGTTGATATAAGAATATGGTATCTGTTTCTTTACAGACGTTTCTTTCATATCATGTCCTACTTCTTCTTCTTCTTCAACGTGATTTTGGGGCTGATTTCTTGTCTAATACGGGCTATTAAAGGCATGATATTCGGTACTTTATTCCTGTCACGAATCGATAAAAGTACCCTAATGAGGGAGTATGAAATGTTGGATCGAGGTAAATACTGAGTGCGAGTGCGAGTGTGGAAATGCCCAATACTACAGTTGGAACCCATGGATGTGACGTCATTCTTTATTTCAAACTAAAGTGTAGATCAGTTTGTATGTTTGTCTTGTATCAGCTAGGGGTTCCATTCTACTAGATTTTGCTTGTACTGCCTATTACATTGCTGGTTGAAAAGAATTGCCAAAATCATATATTATGATGGCAATTATATAAACTTTGGATTGGTGTTATGTTTGTAAGAACATTGTAAGACTTTCCAGTTGATTGGGCTGGGTAACGAATACATGCATCACATTTGAAATTGCAATTTACCGACTGATTTTAGAAAAACTTAATGTATATCCATGAGCATTGACTAATAGATTTAATAAATGTAATAAATACAATTATTTTATATTATTAGGTTATATTGCATATTTGTCTTTTCTGCAAATTGAGGTTGCTCATTGTCACCCGGTATTGGTCACTTTCTGCAAAATGCTTGTCCATGAAATGAAGATGAAGCAAAAAGCGGGATTTGAAACCAATATTATGATCACAAATGCAGCTACATCCAAACTTCTCAAGATGAATAAGAAAGGTTAAATCTCTCATTTTGTCTATCAACATTATTTTGTGTGTTTACTGTTACATGGGATTACAAATTTGATATGTAATTAGTTGTTTACTTATATCGTGGCTATATCACTATGCCGCTTCGGAAAAATCAGAATGACTTAAAATATTCTAATGATCAATCAAATCCAATATTAAAATTCAAAATGTAAGATTCCAAATCAACCACACTAGTACTTTCAAAATGCGTCAAAGCTGATCCTGTTTAAGTACAAATTCGCCATGATAACTGGTGTTATTCATTTGATTCTGATAATAGCTCTGGTTATTTAATAAACCATCTTGAAAAGCATACCATCATTTACAAAAAATTATTCTGTTCGAAAAAGGAAGATTACTATAGCTTCTATCAATTCGATACAAAATAAAACAAGAGCATCACTGCAGGTGAATACAGAACTATGAATTATGGGTCATTAAGATATTCCTGGAACCCAATGAAATACACTCTTTTTTTATTACATTATAGAACTCTTGTTTCAAAAATAAGAAATGAGTTTTATTTTAAGTAATACAATTTTCCTTTTCACTGACAGATCGCCAACTCACATTAGCTCGCCCTTTAATGATGGATAAGTCGAACATACCTCGTAATCGTTGGTGGATGGCCATCACACTGCACAACAACCCATCCCTGCGAGAATTCCGCGCACCAAAAACACATGACAACAATAATGGAGTGGTTGCCGAAAACGAAGATGACTGGGTGGATTTCTAAATTCTTACCATAACATACGTGAACAACAACAACAACAACTAAAAGAACAACCACTAAAACCATGATCAGAAGTAAAACAGTTATACCCGGTAGTATTAGAAACAAATCTCAGTAAGAAAGAAACACTCGCCATGGCTCGAGTTCTACATTCACGAAGAAATATTAGTGCATCCTGTTTCCGGGTTGTTACAATGTCGCCAATCAATAACCACCATATCCTATACGCAATTTTTATTATTATCTATTTTATGTATATTTTCGGTTGCACATAACTGTTAGAAGTGTAAATGCATTACCGGAAACTAATTGTTTATATTCACTGCAATTATATGCACAGAGCAAGATATACGTCTTACAGTGCCTTCCTATATAGTCTAATATAACACATTGAATGTACGGATAATTAATGTATGAGACACGTTTGAGTGATTAAAAAGAAATATTTATGAGAGAACTCATTTTAATAATTTGCATAATTTAAGTTTGGATATAATCATATGCAACGTAAATAAGTGTCATCTTTAAGAATTCTTGAAAAAATATTTTAAAACAAAATTCATAATAATGAAGATGATAATTTTGAATGTACATTCGTGCAAAAATTTTTATTCAAAATATATACGTACTTGTTCGGTTACTGTGAGTTAATGGGGCATAAATTGATTACTGGTAATACTACGTTCACGTCCTATTTCGTAGCTTCATGTTTTTTTTTAGATATTTGATTAATTATCTATTCATACCGACGTAGGTGTTCATATCGGCACATCTTTGTAACACCACTTTTTGTGATCATTTTAAGCATAAGAAAGTCATTTGCGGGATATGTCTTCTCGTCAATTCTTTTCTATCGTCAACAAATCGTCTTTAGTTTCATTTTTGCTTAATGAGTTGACACTACGTCATCCACTTCACTCATCGCGTTTACGCCACGTCATTCCATTCACTCATTGCCACTACGTCATCTCATTCACTCTCCACGTTGTCACTACGTCATCCTGTTCACCATTACATTGTTGCTACGTCATCCCATTCAGTCATTGCGTTGTCACCATGTCATCCCGTTTACCCATTACGTTGTCACTACGTCATCCCATACACTCATTGCGTTGCCACTACGTCATCCAGTTTACCCATTACGTTATCACCGGGTCATTCCATTCACTCATTTCGTTGCCACTACGTCATCCCGTTCACCCACTAAGTTATCACTACGTCATCCCATTCACTTATTACGTTCATTACGTCATCCCATTTACTCATTGGATTATTACCCCTTCTTGTTTTTCACTCGTTCGTCTCTGTCCACATTTCTCAATGGAAATCTTTATAACTGAAGTCTTGGAAATCGTTTGATTTGAAACTAATCAATCATGTACTAGAAGGTATATTTCCGTGTAAATTTTGAGTAGTCGAGTATTTTGAACATTTTGAACATAAGAAAAAGCCAAGTATCTGAACATTATGCACATTACATTGCTACTCAAAGTAAACATTATTTTTACATATTTGATAAAAAGATGGACAAGAAACAATAAAACTATGATGTCACCATACCATGTAATTCCATACAATACCCTTTGAAGAGTCTTGTTTACCTGGTAACATTCTATCAATTAAAGTACGGCTACGAGGGCGCTAACAGTAAAATTCTGAGACGCCAAGCAGACTGTTAACATCCGAGATGTCATATTTTAACTAAGTACTTCGACCTATGCGAGTTTTAGGTGTTCTGCAGCTGTGTGTGGAAATCAGAACTGATGCATGTCCTAGTAAATAGGCATTGTTGAGAACAACGAAACTGGTGAACGGGTACTGTTTGGAACTAAGAATGTGTTCTTTCATTTTCTAATTTTAGTAAGTTAACTATTCCTCATTGAAATCACCAGCCCGATTGCTCTTACATTTTATTATTAGAAAATTCAAATTAGTTCCATATCGTATGTGTGCGGGTGTATCTCTATCAGATTTGTTGTGCAATAGAACAGACAGTGGATTCAAATGATTGTCACTAATATACCTAACGTATGCATACAAGTCACACATTCATAAATAGCATTTCACAATTTTGCTTTGACTGTATTTACATATATATTTGTGAATGTTTTCCACATCAATGTGAAATAAAAATGAACTTGCACCATAAAATAGCATGTGCTTTTTATTATGTTGTATTGTTAATTGTTATTTCTGGTTAAGTTTATATAGTACAATACTTGATCTGATTAGCTGATTTGCAGCATGTACCCTGCATAGTATAATTCCCAATCTGATTGACTGATTTGCATCATAGCCCCTGTATTGTACAGCACCCAATATGATTGGCTAATTCGAACCATGGCCCTGTTGGTATAGCATAGTGCCCAATCTGATTGACTGACTTGCACCATGGCTTCTTTATAGGATAATGCCCAGTCTGATTGGCTGATTTGCACCATGGCTTCTTTATAGGATAATGCCCAATCTGATTGGCTGATTTGCACGCACCATTGTCCGATTAGTATAGTATAATACCCAATCTGATTGGCTGATTTGCACGCACCATTGTCCGATTAGTATAGTATAATACCCAATCTGATTGGCTGATTTGCACGCACCATTGTCCGATTAGTATGGTATAATACCCAATCTGATTGGCTGATTTGCACGCACCATTGTCCGATTAGTATAGTATAATACCCAATCTGATTGGCTGATTTGCACGCACCATTGTCCGATTAGTATAGTATAATACCCAATCTGATTGGCTGATTTGCACGCACCATTGTCCGATTAGTATAGTATAATACCCAATCTGATTGGCTGATTTGCAGAATGCCTTCTGTATAGGATAATGCCCAATCAATTGTTTTTTGTCGCAATGAGCAATATTGTCATTGCATTTTAGCTGATACTGTTTTTTTGTGTCCTTGGTGCTAAGTTCCACTGTTAATTTCTATGTTATGCAGTTTTCCTTTAATGACCGAAATAGACATCTTACTAATTCAGTGATATGAGAGCCATTGCACAAAATAATAGTGGTAAAAAGGACAAGGTGCTTCAATTGGAACATGCACAAATGAAATGGTGTACTCTCTATTCTTTAATTCAAAACCCAGCTGCTTAAAAATCTACATAAACATAATATGGACTGCATTTTTTTATATTACTACATATACAATCATTTCAGATTAGCCATGGACGTTGCGAACTGGAAATCTTTGTAAATATATACAGATGTATATAGTGGATTCAAATGAAAGGTTTTAGTTTATTAGATTGTTCTTGCATACTGCAATCTATGCACAAGGCTGATTTTTGATTGGATGATGCCAAGGTCATTTTTTAATTATATCTATCAGTGATAATGTCAAAATCACAGTTATATTGATTGGTCTGTTTTAACTGCTATTTTGTGTAAATACAGCCAAAAAGCGAAAAATTTATTCCAGCTAAAATAAAGTATTTACTGTAATCTGAAATGAGAGTATTTGGTGTGCAAGTGAAATGCATATTTTTGTCAGTACTATGTAAATGTTATTAGAGTGTATATTTTTAGCAATAATATTGCACATCAAATCATGTGTTGATGGACCCATGAGTCTCAATTATTTCATCTGATAATAATGATGTATGTTCGGAATGATTTTTGTCTTCATTTGTGGACTCAGAACCAGCAACATTGTTGAGATGTGTATCTGTAAATATAAACACAACAAGCTATTAGGAATTTGTACATTTGCACCACGCCTTGATGCGAGGTGAACACTAAACACTGTACCACGCCTTGATGCGAGGTGAACACTAACCACTGTACCACGCCTTGATGCAAGGTGAACACTAACCACTGTACCACGCCTTGATGCAAGGTGAACACTAACCACTGTACCACACCTTGATGCAAGGTGAACACTAACCACTGTACCACGCCTTGATGCAAGGTGAACACTAACCACTGTACCACGCCTTGATGCAAGGTGAACACTAACCACTGTACCACGCCTTGATGCAAGGTGA